CCGGAGCCAGTGTGAGCAGGGCAGAAGACTACACAAAAAATAATCTTGACTTATCGCATAGTAATAAATTATTAATATAAAAAAAAAAGAAATCATTTTTTTCTTTTTACATATTTTGTTAAAAGGCCAAATAAGGACTTCAAACCAAAAAAAAGTTATTTTCTGTTTTGTTTTATTCTTGGATCGGGCTTTAAAGGGTTAAAACTAGAAAGTGTCGGGAGAGAGAAGGCAGCGTTCTGGTATCTGTGCCCTATTTGTTGGTACTCGCTGATGCAGATATCAGTATTTTAGTGCTGCCCTGCCAGATACTGGTAATGTTATCTGTGCATTACTACTAATTAGCAAAACTTCTTGAGTTACTTTATTGAAATTGATTTAAATTAAATGTAATGTAAATGCATGTTGCACTTTTTACAATTTCTATTTAGAAATCTACAAAATAGTTATTCTTCTTCCATTCCAGTTATTCTCTCCTCTTTTGCTCTATCACATACAATCCCAATGAAAGTCACAAAGCTTGTAATTGAAAAGGAAAACTTTAAGTTCTATTGCTATTTTCTCACCTTATTTCATTTTATTTTTTTTTGCAGAGTATTGCAGTCTGCAGTAACACAGAACATGGCAGCTCAGGTCCTCCAAGTGGGCTGAACTCCCCTGTTGACAGGTAAAGCGTCTGATTCTAAACGCATAGCTGAGCTTTTTTTTTGTTTATATTTGCGTAGGACACCAGAGAAATTAGGTTGATATCTTAGAAGATGTAACTCCTCCTCCTGGCTCCACATCTGTGGGGCTGAAACAACAAGCTTCGGGCCATGGCAGGCCGCTTTTTGTTTGTGTTGCAGCGAGGCACAGTGGACCCTTGCAGCTTTTTGTTTGAATGCGTCTCAGATGTTGTGCAGAGCCAGCTTTCCAAGCTGGTGGGATGTTAGTGGGAGAGGCTTTGCTCTCAGCATGACAACCAAGTAAGGACTAGAAAACCATGTTCCTATGTGTGTCCTGGAAATCAAAGTGGTTAAAGGACTTTTATTTAGTACTTTTTTCTGCACTGCAAAGATAAAAACACTTATCTACTTTTATATTTGATTTACACTGCGGTAAGAGCAGCATGTAGACTGGGTTTTAAATTTGATTGCAGTGGTAAAGTATGCAGGATTGCTTAGATGAAGTGTTTGGTAGGATGGTTTATTACTGACGTAACCTGGGGAAGCCATTATTGCATTCTGATAGACTCTATGGCTCCATACTATTTATCAGCTGATGATAAAACACCCAGAGAATAATGAGGACCTCACAATCATGGAAAAGATGGAAGGGAAGAAGTCATATAAATGAGATTTAATTACAGTGATATCACCACAGCTGTCTTCACCATTAATATTTCATCCATCCTTAATATTGTGCAGGCCTAACTGAGTTTATTGTTTGAGTCACTATTTAGTAATTCAGCTTGCACAAGTATGTGTGTGTATTTTGTGCTATTTTATTTATGTTTCAGACCCTCAAACTAAAGGAATTAATAGATCTTAAAAGTTTTTTTTTTTCTTAGCACATATTCTCTGCTGCAAGAAAATTTCCTAGAAAAAAAATTACTTAAACCTGATGGTTACAACTCCACCCTCCAAAGATGTCTGAAAATGAAAAGTCGGCCCAAATTTAATATTTTCTCAAACTTTACCTATTTCTTTGAATTTATTCCAATTCATGCACCATAAAACTCTGAGATCCTGTTTGACATCTGTTTAAATCTTTATTGGGCACTCAGTGAAATACTTTGAAAATCTGAATTTCGAGCCAATAGTGTTATTGGAATCAGGACAAGAGCCTATTACCTTTGTAACAGTCCATCAAATATGGATATTTTGATGGATGTCAATGTAAAAAACAAGAAACACCAACTTGCCCGAATATATTAAGAAAAATAACTTCTATAAGAAATTTAGGAAAAACACTTTGAGAGTGAAAGAAACACATTTTTTGTGGTACAACATAACCTTAGAGGCATTAATGCTGATACTGGCACTTACATCTTTTAGTTTATAAACCTAAATATAATTGTTAACTAGGTTTATTAACTTTTTAGCTTTGCTTTTTAACTTTTCAATTAGCTTTTTACCTTTTTTCTTGATTTGTTAACTTTTTTTCAACTTGTTTTACAGTAGGTAATAGGGGTGGGTATTGCCAAAGAATTCACGATTCGATTCAAATCACTATTCACATGCCACGATGCGATTTTATCAAGATACGTGAAATATTGCGATACATCGCGATGCAGTGCGATATTTTCACTGAGCACTGTAAGAAAAAAATACAGTTATTACCAGTGGCTGACTGGCTGGGTATGATCTGGATAGTGTCTTCAATTGATACATAACTGAAAGCAACTTAATTCATACATAGCTGTATTTATTAAAACAACTATTGAAGGTATTGCCATGAAAACAAATACTGGACACAAATATTACTATTACTGGAGTGGACACACTGACAAAAAGTGCTTAGGATTTATGAAACTTAAAATAACAGAGCTGTTTACATGGCCTCAGTGGTCCTTTAAACCAATGAAATGGAAACATAAAAATTTTTGACATTTCCCCTTTTGCAAATTACGTGCGTCGTATCAATTTCGTTTTTACATTCTGTTTTTAAAGCCAAAATGCATCCAAACATCTGACTTGGAATGTGATGGAGCTGGGCAAATTTTCTCAGTCTCCATGTTTTGTTTATGAATGACTCGTCGCAGCATCCGCAGCGACATCTACTGGACTGAAAGTTGTATTCTACTTGCTTTTGGCTGATGTGTGCCACCCATTCATGTATTTCATTTATTCCTTGTTGTTAATTAAGAATCGATACTTGGCATCAAGAATCGATGCAGTAGATCACAAAAATTAGAATCGCGATGCATCGTCATGACGATTATTTTGCACATCCCTAGTAGGTAATATATCATTCAAGGGCTCATCTAATTGATCAAATGCCAAAATAAGATGTACAGCCATGTAGCAGGATCTTTGCTGAATGCCTGGATATAGATCCTGTGAGGGGGGGACTCTTTTTGTGAGGGGTATGCAAGTCATCAAAAACGGTAACTTGCCCTATAAAGGGTTAAGTAAAGAGTCTGCTTAGAGCTCCAAACCATCTATAGAGATTAAGCAAAAGGAAAATGGCAAAGTCTTCTCTCTCTGGTGCACTAAGATTTACAAATCACTGGGGTACAGTTGTCCTTCTGGAAAAAGAGGGTTTTTGCAGTGTGTTAAAGGA